CACGTGTACAGAATCAAAATAAAAACCCTCTGCCAGTTTTGAACCTTTAATTACAAATGAAGATTTATACACAGACGACAACAAAGAAATTAATGAAATCCTAAGACAAGTGAACGAGACAAGTGAACGAGACAAGTGAACGAGACAAGTGAACGAGACAAGTGAACGAGACAAGTTTAGAACTCCAGTAAACGTTAAAGTTGAAGATCCAAACTTTATTTTTATGAGCAATGTCCAAAAACTCTTGCAATATTACTGGCATTAGCAGTAGGAGAGCAGACTTTGAAAGAGCAATTTTCAACATGCCTTTGGTCCCAACACTTGGAAATCCATAGTTATAAAGAAGTTCAAAACACCATGTGGGTATGTGAGCCTGCGGGCCGCTCCCAGCAACAGCCTGGTGGACCAAACTCTCACAAGTCAGGCCTGGCCTCGGGCCGGGTTTGGGGAGTAGAAGAACTCCCAGAACCCCATCAACCAGGTATCAAGCAGGTACCAGTAGCTCAAGCACTCGGTGTAGAGAGCTACTCTCAGCTCTCAGTGTAGTATGGAGAGAGAAAGAGAGCGAGCGAGCTTGGATACAGGAGAGATGCCATACTCACTTAAATTAGCTGATAAAGTTGCACTCTACGAAGGAAGAAGCCATTATTAACTAACATCACACATAATTACAGTTTTCGAGAGAGAGTGATTAGGAGTCAAATCTAGAGTCATTTTGGCTGAAGATACGAGGTCATCCATACTAAGGTTGTGGGTTGGTGACTCGTTCGTAGCGCTGCCGAGCTCGTAGATTGTTCAGCAAATACCAAGTAAGCCGCCCTGATGAGTGATAAGAGATACTGATGTAAGTGGAGAGGCAAATGCTGTGTTACTATGGTCACTTGTCTCCCGTGTTGAGCCTCGCGCGCCACCAGCCTTATCATCCACAGGCAGGTGGATAAGGCAGGTGGCAGGATATCCTCCCAGTGTGTAGGGGTGCTGCTGTGTGTAGGGGTGCTGCTGTGTGTAGGGGTGCTGCTGTGTGTAGGGGTGCTGCTGTGTGCAGCGGTGCTGCTGCTGTGTGTAGGGGTGCTGTTGCTGTGTGCAGCGGTGCTGCTGCTGTGTGCAGCGGTGCTGCTGCTGTGTGCAGTGGTGCTGCTGCTGTGTGTAGGGGTGCTGTTGCTGTGTGCAGCGGTGCTGCTGCTGTGTGCAGCGGTGCTGCTGCTGTGTGCAGGGGGTGCTGCTGTTGCTGTGTGCAGCGGTGCTGCTGTTGCTGTGTGCAGCGGTGCTGTTGTTGTGTGCAGGGGGTGCTGCTGTTGCTGCTGCTGTATGCAGGGGGGTGCTGCTGTGTGCAGGGGTGCTGCTGCTGCTGTGTGTAGGGTTATACAGTATGAAGGGTTAAAGGGGGGGGATAATTTGTACAGCTTTGGGATAGTGTAGAAGTAGGAGAGTAGTGTAGAGGTCAGGGGGGGGGGTATGGGAAGTAAGGGTTGGTGTTATCTGTAAAGTTTCCTGTGTTGTGGCACCACACTCGGACCTGATGACACACACACTTCTATCCCACGACGAAAACAAACACACACACACACACACACACACGCACACACGCACACACGCACACACGCACACGCGCACTGAACTACACTGAACTTTTTCAGTGTCAGAGTAGTTAGTAAATGGAATGCACTAGGAATTGATGTGGTGGAGGCTGACTCCATACACAGTTTCAAATGTAGATATGATAGAGCCCAGTAAGCTCAGGAATCTGTACACCAGTTGATTGACCGTTGAGAGGCGGGACCAAAGAGCCAAAGCTAAACCCCCGCAAACACAATTAGGTGAGCGCGCGCACACACTCACTCTTGCCTTACAGGCTTGATAGAATTCTACGATCAGGTGACGAAGATTAAGCAAGAAAGAGAAGGATGGGCGGACTGCATTTTTTTGGACTGTCGGAAAGCCTTTGACACAGTACGCCCATAAAAGGTTTAGTCTTTTAAAAAGCGGGGTCCAAGAGCTAGAGCTGGATCTTGCAGGCACAGATAGGAGAGTACAGACACACACACACAAGTGTCGGGAGAATGTATGTTCTCCTTCACACTGTTGACAGTTAGTGTATTAAACACCAGTTTTGGCAGCGTTGCCAGACACCACCATGTCTCTGGCGTGTCCAACTGACTCCAATATTGTCAGTGTGAAAGTCTTCTCCTCCTCTTCCCCTCTTCCTTTATTCCATCTTCCTTTTTTCTCTTTTCTCCCATCACCTCCTATCCTTCCACCCAATTACCTTTTCTCTTTTTCATTTTTCGTCTTGGCCTATTACACGGTAATGTATCGTTCATAGTTAAATGAATGCAGTCAAGGTTAATTGCCATTAGCATTTAATACTGAATGAGAGGTGCGTAACAACTAACTAGGCACATTTCACCCATAACCTAACTAGGCTGCGCGCGCAATGTATTTACCTAATATGCAAGATCACACAGGCAGACTCATATACCCGTTCGAAACCCTAGAAAGTAGCAGTCCCACTTCAACATTTGAATCTTAAATCAATCAATTATATTATTTTGTCATCAATACGTGAAATTTCATAGCAATTATATTCAGCAGATTCAGTTTCTATTCGTTTATGATGGGAGAGGTTTCCAGAGGAAGCGGATGCCGTGGCCAGGAGACGGGACGTAGTGTTCGTGTCACCGGCTGGTGATGTCGTTACGATGTAAACAACGTTTGTAACGTCTTCAGCACGGATCTAAATTGCTTAATTTCAACAACATTGGAGTCTAGCTTCTCAACTCCTTGTGGCTAACCGTTCTTTCACCAGTCACAGGCTGGGGTGGTGGACCCCCCCCATGGGGTCCACCTGGGTATGGGGTCCAGTACCCCGCAGGATGGGTATGGGGTCCATGACAAGTATGGGTTGGGGAAGGTGTGGCCAAGACCCTCCCTTACCCCCATTACCACACACTGATAAACATCATATATTGGATAGTCTGGGGAGTTTAGGAGGCCTCTGCTTTAACGTGAAGACTTTAAGGTAAAGTGATGACATATATAAAGCTGTGCTAATGTATTAGAGGCTACCCACTCTGCGCAGACGGAGTATATGGCCTGCCTACTCTGCGCAGCACGCCAGGAGAAGATAACCTTGAAAATGGGGCTAGTAGGATGACTTCCCAGCGATGGTTTGGTGCATACATCCTGGTCACCACCACCGGTCACCACTAGCCACCACCACCACCGGTCACCACCACCACCACCGGTCACCACTAGCCACCACCACCACATTCCTCGCTGCTAGGGGTAGTGAGGTTGTGGGGCTGAACACACAACTATCCTCTCCCACACCACCACATTGTAACCTCAAAATGGCCAACGGACAAATATCGGGGTACTATAAACTGTAGCGGCTCTCACAGTCACGTTTTCTATGCGGGGTCGTTAGGTTAGATAGGCTAGGTTAAGTTAGATCAAGTCAGGTCAGATGTAATCATTTTAGAAGGCCATTTTCTGTAGGTTGTGACAAGTTTAGAGGAGGGGCTGGAAGAGGTTTCAGTGTGACGTATAGTAGATCAACAAGTGCAAGATTCCTGTATTTTATGGAAGGTTGCAACACTCCCACACTGTCTCAGAACACAAACGTTTTTCACCCAGTTTGTACCGGAAGACTTTCGTCCCTCAACCAGACCTGGGGCCAGATTCACGAAAGCACTTACGAACCTGGCCTCGGGCCGGACTTGGAGAGTAGAAGAACTTTCAGAACCCCATCAACCCGGTATCAACCAGGTAAACCTTTATACATGCTGGTACTGGCAGGCACTGATACTGGCTCTGATACTGGTCCTGATACTAGCACTTATACTGGTCCTAATGAAGACATTCATGTTCTAATACTGGCACTGATACTGGCTGTTGAGCGCCTAACCTTATCCTAAGAGTCGACTTATATTGCAATGATTGTTTTTCAGCTATATTTAAAAAAAAATATATAAAGTATATTGGTATACAAATATGACATTGTGTAAACATATATTATCAGCGTGCGATTGTGTTTGTGAAATACAGGTGTATGATACATATTGATTATAAGACTACAGGTGCCATGTATGTGCATGTATAGAATCATACATGGGTATGGATAGGCTTGTACATTTGTATGGATAATTCAACCATCCTCCTATAATGATAGTACTAGTTATAGCAACTATTTGGTGAGGCGGACCAATGTCTGGTGCTGGAACTATAGACCTTCTAGGTTTGTTGATGTGCAGCACATAGGGAGGGGGGAGGGGGTGAAATCCAAACTTAGACATTGCAAGGGAAGGGAAGGTGATTACATTTCGTTTTCTTAAGTGTCAATTGGATTGATTTAGTAATGAAAACGTACATTGTAGATACAGGTATTTCATTATACGAGGATGGGTCGGGATGTGTGTGTGTAATTACCTAAGTGTAGTTACAGGATGAGAGCTACGCTCGTGGTGTCCCGTCTTCCCAGCACTCTTTGTCATATAACGCTTTGAAACTACTGACGGTCTTGGCCTCCACCACCTTCTCACCTAACTTGTTCCAACCGTCTACCACTCTGTTTGCGAAAGTGAATTTTCTTATATTTCTTCGGCATCTGTGTTTAGCTAGTTTAAATCTATGACCTCGTGTGTGTGTGTGTGTGTGTGTGTGTGTGTGTGTGTGTGTGTGTGTGTGTGTGTGTGTGTGTGTGTGTGTGTGTAGTGTATGTGTGTGTAGTGTATGTGTGTGTGTTGTAGTGTATTATGCACACACACGTGTGTGTATTATATAGGGTTTTAGATATTACCTCACGAAACATTATCAACAATGAAGAATTATGAACACATATTGAATATAAACATTAACAAATCTATTTGTTGAATAGTCCAAGTTTGTGTGCGCGCGTGCGTGCGTACGTCCAGGAATTATTTCTAAGATATGATTTTGAGAAAAAACTAATCCTCATTTTAAACTGATGTTAAATACGTTTCTTAACTTGACCGTTGCAGGTGATGAGATAGTGGCGGTGTACTGCCTGCCTGCAGGTAGGTCAGGCTCCTGGGCCCCGCCTCACAGGTACACTTCCCACCCCCACTCTATATAGTCCACTCTCTGGACTATATAGAGACAGTGGACTCTATAGTCCACTTAGTCCACTCCCACTCTACCCCCTACTACTACTACTACTACTCAGTGCATGTCGTGTCCTGTTTAACTAATTTGTAAAGTGTGTGTTAGTTACTAGAACTGACGACTGTTGTGACAAGCTTCACACAGTTATAACCAGTCACCATAACTAGCGCTCTCCCTGTGTTTGCAGTAGTTACACTCGTCTGTTTGCAGTAGTTGTACTTGTGTGTTTGCAGTAATCACCGGGTCCTCAGTGACTGTCAGCCTTGTTTAGTCAGCACCTGTCATGATTTCTCTCTCCCCCCTCCCCCCCCTAGTTCCCCCTCTACTCCCCCCCCAGTCCCCCCCCTTTACTCCTCCCCCCAGTCCCCCCCTCTAATCCCACCCCCCCCTTCCCTCGGCGAAGTATTGAAGTAGAAATATATGTTTACAAGTCTCAAGAAAATGAGGGCAACCGCACTTGACTTAAGACTGAAGTGATTTACAAATGTAAGGAAGGAGAACTTCTGGACTAGACGTCCAGAAGCACGTCCACGCCTGCACGCACCTCTTGCTCTCTCACAAAGCTCTTCCAGAGCTCATCAGGTGGTCATTCATAGTAAGATGTTGACCAGACTCTGCAAGTGATGGCTGGCGCCCCGGGAGACACTTGGCCTTCAGTATCCAGGTTACTGCACCCTTCCTTGAACTTTGAGTAACAGCTGGATATATTCCTTGAAGTGTGTGTACTCGCCTAGTTGTACTCACCTAGTTGTGTTTGCGGGGATTGAGCTCTGGCTCTTTGGTCCCGCCTCTCAACCGTCAATCAACAGGTGTACAGATTCTTGAGCCTACTGGGCTCTATCATATCTAAACTTGAAACTGTATATGGAGTCAGCCTCCACCACATTACTTCCTAATGCATTCCATTTGTCAACCACTCTGACACTAAAAAAGTTCTTTCTAACGTCCCTGTGGCTCATTTGGGCACTCAGTTTCCACCCGTGTCCCCTTGTGCGTGTGCCCCTAGTGTGTGTGTGTGTGTGTGTGGGGGGGGGGGTAATGCTGTGTGGTGTGTGTGGTGTTTGTGTGGTTGTGTCTGGTTGTGTGTGGTTGTCTGTCTTCTAGTGATTCATCACTTCCCCTCCTTGATGCGTTCTCGCTAACATCTTGTGTTTAAAAGTGTGTGTCTGCTTCACTAAGTTGATCACCAACCCATTCCCATACATACCCTGCAGACTGTCTAATTCTATTTCTAAACGATTGAAGAAACAAGCGATTAAGAGTTTTAACCTCTACATGCGGGCAACCCTAACTGTCCCCTGGACTATGCAAAATATGTTTGCATTCTTTTTTGTGTGATGTTCACTGCTACTTTCATCAGGGTTAAAATATGGAAGGAATAAGCTGTGTTTCTGAGCTTATGTCGTGTAATTTTCTAAAATAAGTTTGTGTAATAAGCGGGAAATCTAAGTGGATGATTTTTACACTACCAACCACCCCTTTCACCCAGCCTTTCACCCCCATTGTTCCTCTCTCCCCCCCTCACCCAGTCTCCCCCCCCCCAACCAGTGTCTCTCACGTGTCGGCAGAAGGGAACCATTATTTGCATGTCTCTTGCAAAATGTACAAAGTAAGTCAGGAGATGTGGGGGATGATGTTGTCACTGTTGCTATGGTGATGCTCACACCATCTGCTGCCTGGGCCTCCCTCCTCTCTCTCTGTCTCTGTCTCTCTCTGTCTCTGTCTGTCTGTCTCTGTCTGTCTCTCTCTGTCTGTCTCTCTCTCTCGCTCTCTCTCTCATCTCTGGTTTTGATTCACTCGCTCCTCTCTCGTCCTCTTTTGTTCTTTCTCTGTCTGTCTCTCACCTCACCTGGTGTCTCCTGTGTGTATGTGTGTGTGTGTGTGTGTGTGTGTGTGTGTGTGTGTGTGTGTGTGTGTACTCACCTATTTGTACTCGCCTATTTGTGCTTGCGGGGGTTGAGCTTTGGCTCTTTGGTCCCGCCTCTCAACTGTCAATCAACTGGTGTACAGATTCCTGAGCCTACTGGGCTCTATCATATCTACATATGATCTATATATCTATCATATCTCTATCGTGTGTGTGTGTGTGTGCGCGCGTGCGTGTGCGCGCGCGCGCGCGCAGCACAGCAGCTGTCTTAACTCCCAGGTACTTATTTACTGCTAGGGGAACAGGCGCATCAGGTGAAACATACTCTTCCCATTTGTTTCTGACACGGGCGGAAATCAAACCCGGGCCCTTAGGACTACGCCCCCAAAGCGCTGTCCACTGGGCCACGTGTGTGTGTGTGTCGGGGATGAGCCACGACTCTAAGCTCTTAATCGTCTCTTGTATAGGTTCCAGAGCCTGTTGGGCTCTGTCATATCTACATATAAAACTGCATGCATGCATGTGCGTGCGTGCGTGCGTGCGTACGACAGGGCGCACTGTCTGGGCAGGGTTGCCAGACGCTGCCAGCAGACCGCACCAAGTCTGGCGTATGTTGTGTGTCACCCCTACACCCCTGTCTGGGTACTCCCCCCCCCCTGCCTCACCAGGACCCCCCCTGCCTCACCAGGTCCCCCCCTGCCTCACCAGGTCCCCCCCTGCCTCACCAGGTCCCCCCCTCCCTCACCAGGTCCCCCTCCTCCCTCCCCATGACCCCCCTCCCTCCCCATGACCCCCCTCCCTCACCAGGACCCCCCCCTCCCTCACCAGGACCCCCCTCCCTCACCAGGACCCCCCTCCCTCACCAGGACCCCCCCTCCCTCACCAGGACCCCCCCCCTCCCTCACCAGGACCCCCCCCTCCCTCACCAGGACCCCCCTCCCTCACCAGGACCCCCCTCCCTCACCAGGACCCCCCCTCCCTCACCAGGACCCCCCCTCCCTCACCAGGACCCCCCCTCCCTCACCAGGACCCCCCTCCCTCACCAGGACCCCCCCTCCCTCACCAGGACTCCCCCCTCCCACACCAGGACCGCCCCTCTCTCACCAGGACCCTCTTCCCTCACCAGGACCCCCCCCCCCTTTCCTCTCCAGCATCCCCCCTCCCTAGCATCCCCCAATATCTCCCCTCCCCCACATTCCTAGGGTATCGTCCTTAGGTTGTGCCCCTCCTTCCCCCCCCCCCCCCCGCCGGCCGTGCCAGCCTCCGCCCCGTGTGTGCGTCAGGCAGCAGCAGCAGCTGCACGGGGCGCATGACCTGCTGCACGTCGACGCGTATAAGCGCTCGTCTTGACTGCGGGTATAGTGAGTGTCTTCTCCCGGCTCCTGTGTGGCCGCTCACCGGGCCAGGTGTGGGGCACCTCCTCCTTCACTGCTAACTGTCTACCTGTGGCTGTCTTGCCTGTGGCTGTCTTGCCTGTGGCTGTCTTGCCTGTGGCTGTCTTGCCTGTGGCTGTCTACCTCTCACCGTCTACCTTATGTAGTCAGTGTTACAGTGTGAGGTGTACGAGTTTATGGTCCGCCGCCTCGCCTTGTTCTACCTTTTGCGTTATAATGTACGCATTCTGATGTTCGAATTTCTTGTTGAATCAAGCTTTAGTGTTGGGGATGGAGGTGGCTTCTACAGCTTCTCTCAGAGCACTTGTTGACCACTGTACAGGGTACGAGCATGTCCTTGCATTTCATTGACTCATTTGTGTTAAGAGATTCCATTTATGTCCGCTTGTCATACTTTTCCTAAATTTAAAAAGACTGTTCTTGTCCATTTTGTGCATTCCCCTCAGTACCTTATATACTGTGATCATATCCCCCCCTCTGATTTTCTCTCCTAGTTCTCTTAACCTGTCCTCTAACTTAGCTTTCTTAACTTTGGTACTAATCTTGTTGCAAATCTCTCTACTTTCACAATTTTGGTTTTATGCTTCACATGGTTCGAGTTCCAGCTCGGAGCTTCATATTCCAGTATTGGTCTAACGACGGTTATGTAGAAGGGTTTGAAATCGTCGTGATTTAGGCTTTTGAACGATATTCTAACTTGGCAGCGTCCCATATGCTGCTGATGTTACCGTGTTTGTGTGTGTTTCTGGACATTGTGTTGGGGTTATATCCACACCCAAATCCTTTTCTTTCCAATTCATTATGGTGTAGATTCCTTTCTTCCTTTAACATTGTCATTATATTACACTTATTGGGATTGAACTCTAGCAACCATTGTTAGTCCACTTCCGGAGTGTGTCGAGGTCTTTCAGAAACTGTCTGAAGTTCTCGTTGTTTTCATAGACATGTACGAGCTCACTCTCTTAGGCTGGTCATTGACATACATTAGGAAGATCAGTGGTCTCAGGAGCGACCCTTGGGAACCCCACTTGTTACATCCCTCTAGCTAGACACCTCGTCTCTAACGGTGACTTTGTCTTAGTGTCCTTGAGGTGATCCCTTACCCAGTTTAGTGTCTTTCCAGTCATCCCAACCTGCCTCACCTTCTTGTACACCAGCCTTGCATGAGGAACAGTGTTTACACTGTGTGGATGCTTACAACCTCCTCCTGTGTTTACAACCTCCTGTGTGTGTTTACATCCCCCGTGGGTGTAAAAACACATCCGGGGGTGGAGGGGGGCTATGCTTCAGGGTACAATTAGTCCACTCACCACCACCACCACCACACACACACACACCTGGCCTCCAGTAACCCTCCTGCCTCCACCACCTCCCCCAACATCACTCCAGTGTGTGAGGAGACCAGACAGTGTACCTGTGAGGCGGCCTACTCTTGCATGGCCTCTTTTATATGTACTTTATATTGTCACTTGGTGTGTTGAGAGAACCAGTGTGTTGCAGGGCCAGTGTTGTGGTCAGTGTCACTATCTAATGTGAGTGCATGATCTCTGTGTTGCATGATCACGCTCTTCTTGCACGATGGGGCTCTTGTATGGTGACTTGTGTTGCATAACATGGTTCTTATTACACACTGTGTTTCATGTGGTGTTGC